TAATTTGACACTGACTGCCAAAGAGGTCCTTCCCATTCAGCTTATTGTCTGGGCTTTTTTTTTTTTTTTAATGGTTTCAAAAGTCACTTCAAAAGGGCAGCAAAATTAGCCTTAAATAGTATTTTTTTTTGGATTGCTTTTAACAATGGTGATAACGCCAAAGCTTCTAGTTTTGACAGAAATGGTTTCATTACAACTTGTTTTTATCTCTCCAGAATAAGCAAGGAATTTAAAAATGTGTTTTCATTATGGCTAAAGACTAGTTTTGGCTGATATCTTCTTCAAAGAAAAAATAATCTGTAAAGTCTTTTATTATGTCTCTCTTTAGCTCTCTGCTCCTGAGGCAAAAAGAAAAAAAAAAGTAGGTTTTTGCTGTTGTTGTTTCATTTTTAAAGAGGATCCCTGTTTCAATTAGCACAATAAGCATATCAATAAGTATTTGTGTTTCTGAGAGTTGTGCATTTCACTCCAAGGAATCGGGCTTTTAAATATGATCTTCACTTACAAAAGCTGCAGTCTGGATGAAAATCTTTAACCTAAAAATGAATGTTGGAAACAGATAGTGAAATAAAGCTGTAAGACCAAGTCTATTTTCTGCATTTTTTTTCTTGCAGGTGACATTAAGACAACTTTGATCTACAGACATGATGTCATCTAGGGGTGTACCAGTGCCAAATGTATTGCATTCTTTTGACCAAAACAGTGGTTTTGTGCAGACTTACAGATACAGGCTAACTAGCTTCAGAGTTGGCCGGAGTCTTTGCAGACAAACAAGTCAGAGCACAGTGGAGTTACACAACTGCTGCAGACAGCCAGCCTCTGCGGCCCAGCCTCTGCTGCGGTGGCCAGCTGGAGAGTTTACATTTGCCAGCTGCTTCCTTCAGGGCCTGGCTTAAGATTCACTTCCTTCAGGAGTCTGTCTTTTACGAACTCACCTCCCTCACCCCTTCTAACACCTACTTACTCCCCCTCTCACACTTTGTTCTGCTCTGCCATGCGCTCACTTGCATTTTGCCTTGGAATTGTCCTGTAAAGTTTTACCTCATTCTTCAGCTAGATTAAAATTGCCTTAAAAGTAGAGCCTCTCTACTGCTTCTTTGTGTACTCCTGAAGCACTTAAGTGTAGTGCTACACAGCTGCTAGCTTCCACATAAAAGGGGGATGTTCTGCGGTTATTAGGTTGGGGTTGACATCCTGCCTTTGTCTTCAGTTCCTGAAAAACCGAACTCACTGCTTCCACATCAGGGGATTGTCTCCGTCCACTCAGCTGACGGCATGCCACCTTGGCATATTTCTCTCTGCTCTGACCCAGGAATCCACCCCCGGTCTCTTTCCTCGGTGGCTGACATCATACGTATTTTATTTTTTCAAATGTTAGGCTGCCTACGATCAGGAGGAAAACAGTAGGGAGGCTGGGAAGAGTGATGTTTGTGTACCGAGTCATACCGATTTATAGCAGAGGGTCCAAGAGGCATGGAAGCAAACCTTCAAGGGATACAGGGTACTTTGCGGGATGGGGTAGCTAGGGGAGGGCTTGGGGCAATTCAAATTAGAAGTATTCAAATCAATGCTGATTTGCCGAATAGTGAAAGGTGCAATTCAAGCATCTCTGAAATAAAGATATAAGGTGGGATTCTAAAACCAGCCTCACTTATTCCTAGAGGATATGTGCTAGAGAAACGTGAGTCCACAGGAATAAACACAGCACTTTTTCTAGCATATCTATTTTACTAAACACTTTAAGAAACTTTTAATTACAGATGAACTAGCGCCCACAAGCCCCTTTCGTTGGAAGAGCTCACGTGAGTGCAAAATTCATGAAGCTTCAGGTATGGCTGTATATGGGTGCTCCAATAATGTTGTCAGAGCTCTAGCTGTCTTTCTATCTCTCTGCTCTGCTTGGCTTCATTCCGTGTGTGAGTTAACTGCAACTTGGTGAAAGCCTACACACTCACTGAGGTTTGAGATCCTTACTCTCCGTGCTGAGCCACCCACAGAAGAAAAATAACTTTTTTCTTTTCAGGCCCATACACCATTTAAAAAAACAAAAACGAAAACAGGGTCTTGCTATGGCCTTGAACTCCCAGTCATCCTTCTGCCTCAGTTCCCAAGTGCTGCGATTACAGATGTGTGCTACCATGCCTGACTCCCACCAATTTTTAAGAGATTTTATTTGGGCTTTGTTTGAGACATGTGCCATTGGAGTATCGTAATTGGCCCTGCCTATGTCAGCACCCAACCCTGTGACCAGCTATTATTATGAATGACAGAACCCAGTAATGATGCAGTGAGAGATCCACACTCTTTTTTTCCATTAAGTTTATTGGTACATTTAAGGTAAACAGTACAGTTATGTTCATCATTGGGACCTTGTACCTTTACACGATGTATCTTGGTGGGAGATTCATGCTTTTAAAGCAGGGTTACCAATAGATAAAAATATCATGTCCACAAACTCAATGCTAATACTTTAAACCATTTTTAATATTCAGATAAATCTACTTTGGGTTACTGGCTGTGTTGGGGAACATGGTTTTGCCTTTTTCTGTTAGTAATGGAACTTTGATGAAAAAGTTGAAGGAATATCAATATACTTAGCTTTCTTCCTTCCTTCCTTTCTTTCTTTTTTTGGTACCAGGAATTGAACTCAGGACCTCGCACTTACAAGGCAGGCGGCAACACCACTGAGCTAAATCCCCAGCCCTATACTTAGGTTTTTAAACCCACAACTACTCCATGGAATCAGGTGTGAATGTACTCATCATACTGGATGGTTGTGCCTTTCAGAGGGAGTTGTGACTTAGTGAATACTGTAAAATGTAAGGCCTAAAATTCTGATTTCATACAAAGCATCCTTGTTTTAAGGACCAGATGGGCCTGAATCATCAAACCAAACAGCTGCAACAAGAGCCAGCCATGGGTGTTGTTACCCTTCTTCACCCCAGTGGGGGTGGACACCCTAAAAAGTGATATGATGATATGAGAAAGGATTGGAGAAGCTACAGGAAAATGTGCACTTGTATGAAAGGAAACTGGCATGGAAGAGCACATCACCCTGGTCAGCAAACCCAGGATCCCACTGGCCCCAAGATCTGACCTGCATACTCTTGACCTGCCTGGTATTCAGCCTGTAAGGATTTCATGCTGCCTGATTTGAGGCAGAAAGGAGTGTAACAGATACTGTTAGTACCCCAATCCTATCTCTTTATTTTACCACTTCTGGTGAAAAACTATCAGACTCCCACTTGTCAGCACCCACATTTCCTTGCCGGAAGGTGCTCTCTGACCACTGCTGGTATGGTAAGCTGGAAATGCCTGGATATCATCCCCCAGGGGATCTTTTAGCCAGTGACCTGTGGGAGTGAAGAAATACTTCAGCCCCATCCCCACCCCTTGGATGAGCTTCTTCTGAGATATGTAACATACTGGGTCTCACACTTACCTGGAGGAATTAAGCTCCAATTATCCATGGTAGAAGCTACCTGGATAACATATTGTGGTCTACTTTCTCTTCCCCGTGTCAGCTACTCCCATACTTACACTACTTAAACTATTTGCACCTGAATTCTTACCTCAGAAATGATTTCTAGTGGAACTCAAATTAAAATGGCAATATTCAGATAAAGCCTCAGGATCTTTTGTTAGAATAGGGAAGACTTTCTGTGGTTTTAGATAGGCATGGCAGACTCATGTTGCATATATCCACTAATGTCCCTGTAGATTTACTTGGTTATTAATTTTTAAGATATTACAGCTACTCTGAGAGTATATAAGTAACTGGGGGGAGGCAACATATACCCGTAACACCTCTATTGGTTAGTTACTGACATAAACAAAATTATAATAATGGTACCTCGTGATTGAAGGTCATTCCTCTTGGAATTGGTTGGATTGATCTAGACCGGGCTTACTCATGCGTGTGTTGTCAGCTGGGCTGTCTTCTGTCCTAAGCTTAGCAGGACAACTCTTGCTTTTGTCTGTCCTCATGGGACTGGCCAGCTAGCTGGGACACATTCTTCTCTCTGCAATGACAGAAGATATGTCTACTAGAGCAAGTGTTTTTAAGACTTTGTATCACATTTGTGAAAGTTCCATTGGCTGATATAAATCAGAGTCGGTGTCAAAGGATGGAAAAATATACTTTCCCTTTGGGGCATAATCTGCAATGTCACATGGCAAGAGGCATGGAAAGAGAGAGGGATGAGGAATTGAGGTGAGGGCCGGGGATTTAGTTCAGTGGTTCCTCCGCCTGCCTCACAAGCACAAGGTCCAAGTTCGATCCCCGGTACCAAAAAAAAAAAAAAGAGAGAGAGAGAAAAGAAAAGAAAAAAAAGAATTGAGGTGAAATCTACTCAACGCTTCACAAGTCTCTACCTTGCTATTTGTCTGTCCCTGGGAGAATCTGGCAGAAAACATTTGGCCACCATCAACTTTTGCAACTGGATTCTCAAATAAATTAAGTTTTGGCTTGCCTCTTTTTCTTTTTTCTTAGAAAGGACTTCTATTTTCTCTCTTTGCAATAAATTGTTTTGACAATTTAAAATGGACTCCACAAAGGCAGCCATATGAACTTCTCTTAGTACTGAACTAATGAATTTGAAATGAAATTATATTTCAATAGCAGAAACTCAAAAGGAATAACCAATTGGAAATCAAGACAGCACACACATACTTCCAGAAGTGTTTCATTTGAGGATGTCTGATTACTTAAACTTGACAGAAGAGTCTTGCTTTGTTTGTTGTTATTGATAATTTTTGCTCATGCTGGAGATCAAAGTCAGGACCTTGAGCATGCTGGGCAAGTGCTTTACCACTGATCTATATACCTAGCCCTGAGCCTTACTTCTTAAACTTGACTCAGACCATCATCAAGCCTTCCCTGGACTTGCTGAAGTGGCAGCTAAGGAAACACCAGCCATCAGTACTCCAGATAGTCTTTTTTGTATTCTCTGTCCATCAGAGAAAGAGGAAAAAAAAAAGACTTATGACTCATTGTTTTTCAAAGATGTTGTTTCCCCTGCAGTTTTGCAGGTTGTTTTTGGTCAAAATTTGCTCTCTGTTTTTACAATACCCATTAATGTTCTTTTTCATTTTAATCATTGGATTGTATGTTTGAAAGCCCATCAGCAAACTTCACAATACTATTTTCTGTGTCTCAGTTGTCTTTGATGCTTTGAAACTGACTTGGTACACATAAAAGAAAGAAAACATACCTACTTTGAACACATGCCACTTAAAACAATCATACTGTTTGACCCATTGCTCTGAAGAGAGCCTTCTACGATAGTTCTGTTTTCTTAGATCTGTCTTTCGGGATTGTCTTTGGGCCATTTCTGAAGTGGTGTGCTTCTGGAGTTCTCTAGGGAATAGTCCTAGGTCCTATGGGCCATAGCTCCATTATCTGTGGAAGCACAGGAAGGAATTTTACAGTAATTCTGCTACAGTGAAACATTTGCCTGGAGGCCAGAATCAAAAATAGCAGCTGGAAGGACATTTGGAAAGAGGAGGGGGTGTGGGAGTGCAGAGAGGTGGAGAGAGAGAGAGTGTTTCACATTTGGATGAAAACACTAGCTACAAGGCAAAATGAGACAGGCTGGCATCGTCTACCCTTGAAACTATCCCAAATTCAATTCTCCTTGGACTTGGCTCTCAAAGTCAGTGATTTCAGTGCTGTGAGTGCTAGCCAGGGTTGGTGCCCTGCTCTTGGTAATGAACAGTGAGCACTAAGTTTCCTGGATGCTGCCCAGCAGCACCGGCTTTTGCTTTGGCACTGCTACTCCTCCCACTGCAAGTTATCCTGCAAAATACACTGGCCAGGTTTGGGGGTCACCAGTCACTGAATGACTGACTTCCGCCCTCCAAAGACTGGAGAAGAGACACTTCACCTTTATCATTGCTATTGCAATAAAGGGTACATATCAGACAAGGTTTGGGTATGAGCCTAAGAGCAGCAAAGGAATTAGGAGCAGAAGCCTCACCTAAGGAATGATGACCCTGAGTGAACTAGGATTAGTAGTTATGCCCTTGTGAAATTCTTCCCTTTGAATCTGGGATGCCTTGTGAGTTACTCATGCCTAATAGGATATGGTTTCAGTGACACTGTGTGACTTTTGAGGCTACATTAGCCTTCTGCCTGGGTCTTCTAGATACAACTTTTTGTTGTGGGAACACTAAAAGCTGGCCACCAAACTGAACGTGGAGTGTCCACACGGAGGTCCTGCAGTTTACAGCACAGGTGTGTGACTCACAGACAACCCTTCAGATGACCCCAGCCCCAGCTGAACAACCATCTGATAGTCCAAGAAAACTTTCTAACTGAAACGATGACAATTCAGAACCATGAGAGCTGATAGCAAATCACTCACTAAGCAACTGGAATAGAGATTGTATATTTATACTCACAAATATATATTATATACTTATGAATAGATCAACTGATGGATTAGTTGAATGACTTTCTATTTACTCACTCGTTTATTCAACAAACACCTGTTGGTCCACCTCACTGTGGGAATACAGTGGTGGACAAAATTACAGACCTGCACCCTGGACCTTACAGACTGGTATGGGGAGATGACAATAAACAAACATATAAATAATTATGAAAATTATGAAGTATGTAATTTTATGGCTAAACAATTTTTAAAAAACAATATGGTGCTATGTTAGAAAAAGAGAGGGAGCGCCAACATAGCCTGGGTAATCAGAAAGAGTCCATCGGAAGAGATTATTTTTAGTGGGCATTGAAATGTGAGGAGTCACCACGTTAGGGGTGAATGGTGTGAGGATGCAGAGATCGTTCTAGAATAAGGGAACAGTAGAGACACTAAAGTAGGAAGGGTCGTTATAGGTTACTTTGGGAGAGAGGGTGGTACTGGGTATTCAAACTCTGAGCCTTCTCTCTGAATTACATCCCCAGCACTTCACTTTTTTTTTTTTTTTTTTTTTTTTTTTTTTTTTTTTTTTTTATTTTTTAATCAATCAGTTCACTGGCCTTGAACTTGCTCTGTTCAAGTCCCTGCTGGCCTTGAACTCATGGCAATCTTTCTGCCTAGCCTCCTGAGTGCTGGGATTACAGGTATGCGCCACCAGGCTCAGCCCACTTTTTCACTTTTAGAGTTTGCTGAGTTGTTAACTTGCCCAGGCTGGGCTTGAACTTGGGATCCTCCTGCCTAGCCTCCCAGAGCACTGGGATTTTAGATAGGCATATGCCACTGCACCTGCTAAAGGATTTCATTTTATTCTGTTTTTCAACTTTAGTCAAGAAGGCTTTTAAACAGAGGAGTAATATGATCCCATTTACATTTTTAAGAGGTCACTCAAGGAGCCAGGGTAATAAGGATCAAGGGGACAAGAAGGGAATCAAGGAAAGCTGTCCTCGGGCAACGTGACGGAGGCCTCTGCCACTCCAGCCACAGCCCTAGGGGGCACTGCGTAGTGCCTGCTTCCTGCGCTGTCATCAGGGCCACTGCTCCTCAAATAGCACAGCAGCATTTAGTTAAGGCAGGTACTCCATGGAGTATACTTCTGATAGATAGCAAATGCCAACAGGCCCATAAATTCACACTCAGAGAATCTCCAAACTGTTTCTGGGACACCACGCTACTTCTGGCTCTGGCTTGATAGATGAACAGCGCTTTCAGCTAACCCAGCCCAGAGGGTTGTGCGTTACGGGTCACTTACCCAGCCTGCTCCCTTCGTCATGCCGCTGCAATGCTCCCTCACTGTACACAGGATGCCACTCCTGGGCTTCCTGAACCAGCCCCCTCCCTCAGCCAGCAGCAAATCCTGCATGCTGGGGCACTGACCTCCGAACTGCCAATCCATCTGGCTGACCAGATTTACTGTCTTGACGAAGCTGCCTTTCCAGACCAAGTTGGCTATTGCTGCCAGCAGATACGGTGTCCTGCGCTGGTGTTAAATTAGTTGTGAATAAAAGAGAACGAGAGTATCAAGAGCCTGCAGTTCCCATAGGCTAGAAAAATCTGTCAATAGTAATTATTCCCTAGGACTGTCATTTCAAAGGTATTTAGCTCTGCATGTTCAGGTTCCCTCTGACTTTCTCAGGATTTATAGATTGTTACTTTCATAGACCTGCCAGGCACATTTCTGACAAAAATATCTGCTGTATATGTCCAAGTGTGTGTGGAGGCACTGAACCGTGCGTGGAGGGGAATGGGTCCCATCACCTATCCCCAACCTCACCTTAAACCTGCCTCCCAGCCTCCCTCCCCAACACCATCTCTGCCTCCCTCAGGGCAGCCGGCCCTGCCTCGCCTTCTTCCTGCTGACTACCATTCGCCGGAGTTTTCTCCAAACCACCCACTTTCCTCCCTCTGCCCATTACTGCTCTAGTCCAGGAGGTGTGCATCAATAACCCCCCAGATCTCTGTGTCCTGACTCCTCTGGTCCACTCTGCCGCCTTGTTCTGAATTTGCCAGGCTGTCAGCCACTGAAGTGAGCTTTCTCCCAACTTGCGGCCTTCCCATTTACCTCAGAGCCTGATGCCTCTCTGTGAAACGCATTCACTCCTATTTTCATTTATGCATTGCCTGTGACTGCTTTTGTGCTACAACAGTAGGGATGAGGACCTAGGACAGAGATGTATGGCCGGCAAAGCCTCCAATACTACCTGGCCTTCAATAGAAAAACTTTGTTGACCTTGTCTGATACTGTTCCTTCTGTCTGGAACTTTTCTTTTCTTATAGATAGATCCCTTTTCCACAACCACCCCCTTCCTCCCTTCATCTGGTTAATGCTCCTTTATCCTTCAGCCTACAAATTCCTCCGGGAAGTCCTCCCTGACTGCACCCCAGCCCAATAGACATCCCCACGGCATTCTGCTGTATCTCAGCAGTAATTACAATGTCCTACTTATTTGTCTAGATTCCCACTAGGCCGCAGGCTCACTCCTTGAAGAAAGAGGACAGTTCTATCTTGTAGGCTAGATTCAGAAAGCCCTGGCAAGAGAGTAAATGAAGCTACAGACACTGTCCTTAAATGTTTAAATGTTATATGTCAA